TTTAGAGATTAGCAGCTATGGGGCTGAAAGAGATAAACAGAAAATGCAGCAAGTAAAGTATCAGGCAATTTTAATCACAGTAAAACAAAATTTGTGTATCAAATTATAGTACCTAAGTGGCTCAGCTGTGAACAATTATATAGTCATATGAACATATTAATCCAGTTACATTACCATATTTGGATTTTGTGGGTAAAGATAGAGTATGTGTCTGGGTGGTGTGAGAGACCTAAATTCTCAGTTTACCTAATAGAATGTTAATTTGAAATGTCTAACATTAGACATATTACAGTTATGGAGAAACAGCAAGGTCACTGGAATAAATCATGCCTCTGTTTAACAGGAATTTGGCATAGGATAGCATGACCCAGGAGATTTTCGTTTTTATATTTAGATTATTGCTGGCTGAATAATAATTTTATAGTAATTTTGATAAATTCATCACATGTGGAATTTAATTCATAGATGTGGGAATGCATTGATGACTGTGTAAGTAATACATCCTTTCATCTTATGACTATTCCAAAACTCTTTTATAATTTCACTCCATTATTCTAGAGTATGCATTTTCTACAATACTAGTTTATTGACAGCTTAAAATAATGAAGCGGAAACTTTTTCTTGCTTACAAGTGGTAAACCCAGTCACATTTGTAACCATAATCTCTCACCTAAATAAAATAAAAAATAGTTTTCACAATATTCCATCTTCATAATCTAATTGCCCGTACAGTTTACAAGAGGTTACCAATTTCATACCCGGTGTGAAACACAGCCTAAGTAGTTTCATAAAAATATCACTTGAAGAAAAGATATGAGACCTGGCATTCAAGTTATAAGATTAAATGTCACCCACTTCATTGTCCAGAAAAATCCTAATATTACCGGGTTTTACTTTTAATAGAAGAACATTTGCCACTCTACCTACTGTAATGACTTCAGCAAAGTTATTACATTTTGATAGCTGAATACTAAAGCATGAATCCTATTGTGATGGTGTCTTTTTCCATCTCCTGGGAAGACAATTCTAACAAACAACTCTATTATATCTATCCCGTTTGATTTTGTCCTCTCCCTTCCTCCTAGTAATACCAGTCTTAATCTTTTTTGGATCATGAGTTTTTGTGGTGTCTTTCCAAATCTCACTGTATTCTATCTTCAGAGATACAAGATTATGATGTGCTGTTTCAGGACCTAGAGTGAAATCTATGTAAAATGAAGAATCTTTTGTCGACCATCATGTTGTGGCAGAAGTCTAGAACCATCATTCCTTAGTTAAAATGGAAAAGCCCATGAAGTTTTTTATCTTAAAACATGTTATTGATACATACCCTTATATCAATTACTGGTTGTCTCTTTCAGTGAATAGTTTGCTATCTCACTTATTAGAGCTTTAAGATAATATGGTCTGAAAGTTTTGTTTTCATCTAGTGTGTGTATCATATCCTATTCTTTGTATTTTCGAGTTTTCAGAACTGCATCTTATTCATTTTCTAAATAGAGTATAAAGTGCTCAAAATCAGAGTTTAATCTCTTTCTCTAATATTCGACTATCTTCGGTAGCATCCATGTATTTTTAGTTAACATAACTCTTAGTTTAGTTTTGGTTTATTTAAAGCATTTTATACTTGCTGTTTCAGAGGTCAGATTTCCCCTGTGAGCTTCTTCCTTGAGGCAGCCTGCTCAATAGGGCAGGTGAGCCCAGCGAGAGACAGCCCGTGCAGACCCAAACCCTCTAGTACTTGTCACAAAAAGGGACTGGGACCTGATGGTGATTCTCTTCTTGCCTTTTCCTGGTGGTCCTTCTGAGTGGGAGTTGCCTGGTAATTTCAGTGGTATGAAAGCCGGAGTGTTGCTACTAAAATTCCTCCCTGGGCTGCATGAACGACTGACAGGGCACGAGGAGAAAACGATTCCCAGGACTGGTGAAGCGACCACTGTTGGACCAGTATGCTCGTCATTGGATCTCTGTGCAAGGAGACTGCAGTGTAGCGTAAGGTCTGTCAGGGAGACCTGAAGCCCTGCACCAGGAACGCAGTGCTCGCTCAGCCCACCCTGCAGGGATGGCTCTGCAGGTGCTGGGTCTGGGGAAAAAGCGTGTCCGGAATTGGTTCCTTCCAGTGGGTTCTTGGTCTCGCCGACTTCAAGAATGAAGTCACGGACCTTCTTCGCGGTGAGTGTGACAGCTCTTAAAGATGGTGTGTCCGGAGTTTGTTCCTTGCAATGTTCAGATGTGTCCAGAGTTTCTTCCTTCTGGTGGGTTCGTGGTCTGGCTGACTTCAGGAGTGAAGCCGCAGACCTTCCTAGTGAGTGTTACAGCTCGTAAAGGTGGCACGTCCAGAGTTGTTTGTTCCTCCTGGTGGGTGGGTTTGTGGTCTCGCTGACTTTAGGAATGAAGCTGCAGACCCTTGTGGTGAGTGTTACAGCTCCTAAAGGTAGTGCAGACCCAAAGAGTGAGCAGCAGCAAGATTTATTGTGAAGAGCAAAAGAACAAAGCTTCCACAGTGTGGAAGGTTATGCAAGTTGTTGCCTCTGCTGACTTGAGTGGCCAGTTTTTATTCCCTTATTTGGCCCCGCCCACATCCTGCTGATTGGTCCATTTTACAGAGGGCTGATTGGTGTGTTTACAAACCTTTAGCTAGACACAGAGCACTTATTGGTGCGTTTTTACAGAGTGCTGATTGGTGTGTTCACAATCCTTTAGCTAGACAGAAAAGTTCTCCAAGTCCAGACTGGACCCAGGAAGTCCAGCTGGCTTCACCTCTCAAGAGGATAGCTGCCCAACCCCAGGGCACATCCTTCCATCCACTGTGGTACCTGGCGCTGCACCTGGTCTCCAACGTCATGTTCGACCTCCACGATCTCACCCGGAAGTTGAAGCCCAGAGGTGGTGCTACACGCACAATCACTGCTCTGCTGCCCTGACTTCAGTACAGACTTACTGGAGGTGTCGCCTAGCCCGCTGCGGGAAGCACCGCAGGGCTCTTGCGACGCCTAGGCCTCGGGAGCACTTTGTATTCTGTGAGAAGTTTTCATTCTCAAGGAACCTCAGCTGTTTGGTTTGCTCTTCTGCCACCCACCCCTACCTGTGCCGGACTGAGGGCACTCCCTGCTCCACCCTAAGAGAATAGGATTCCAGTTTCCGTTTTAATTTACTGAATGTTATTTGTAACTGGTGGGAGAAAAATGTGGTTATAATTCACACTGAAGGCCGGGCGCGGTGGCTCAAGCCTGTAATCCCAGCACTTTGGGAGGCCGAGACGGGCGGATCACGAGGTCAGGAGATCAAGACCATCCTGGCTAACACGGTGAAACCCCGTCTCTACTAAAAAATACAAAAAAAAACTAGCCGGGCAAAGTGGCGGGTGCCTGTAGTCCCAGCTACTCAGGAGGCTGAGGCAGGAGAAAGGCGTGAACCCGAGAGGAGGAGCTTGCAGTGAGCTGAGATCCGGCCACTGCACTCCAGCCTGGGTGACAGAGCAAGTCTCCATCTCAAAATAATAATAATAATAATAATTCACACTGAACAGCTTATTAAAAGTTATAGTAACACTATAATTGAAATAATGTATGTTAGGAAATAATGAATTATAAGGTGAAATATAAAGTACAGATAAAATTATACGATGTCTGGGAATTTGCTCCATTGGCAGGAGAAGCTGGTGGGGTTATAAAGATTGTTAATTCAAATGATAGAAATTGGTTTCTTTTTATTCGTAGGTTCTTCATACTGTTCTCTCTACTATTACGGATGTATGAAATACTCTACAATTTAAAAGCTTCCTTTCGTAGCCAGGCTGAAGCTCATGCCTGTAATCCCACCACTTTGGTAAGCTGACGCGGGCCAATCACTTGAGCTCTGGAGTTTGAGATCAGCCAGGCCAACATGGTGAAACTCCATCTCTACAAAAAATACAAAAATTAGCCAGGTGTGGTGGCCTGTCCCTGTGGTCTCAGCTACTCCGGAGGCTGAGGTGGGAAAATCGCTTGGAGCCAGAGAACAGAGGTTGCAGTGAGCCAGGATGGCGCCACTGCCCCGCGTTCTGGACAACAGAATGAGATCCTGTCTCAAAAAAATAAATAAACAAAATGTTTCCTTCAAAAAGCTAATCACTTTTCAGCGTATCAATACCTCAATGCGGAAAGCTAATTTCTCTTACTGTTTTCTTTGAGCCACCTGCCCCCTTTCAATCTGTCTCACAGCTCTCAGATTCTGTCTCCTTTTCTCTTCTCCCTCACAATTGTCCCTAATCTTAATCAATTTTCCTTCCTCTGCCAATCCCATCTCCTTTCCTGTCTGCACTCTTTAATCTCATGAAACTGCCAAATTAGTTTAAATTGGGATTGAGGAAGGAATGAGACCAGGCATTGTGCTTGTGTGTCCTGTGTGTGTCCGGTGTGTGGATCCCAGGCCTGGTCTCAGATTACCTGAGTCATCCGGGGCTGGTTCCGTGATCCCCCTCTTCACCCTGTGGTGGTCACATGAAAACAAGGACAATCAACCTCAATTTCCCTTTAAGTTTTGTGTAAACACCAATAAAGACATATCTTCTGGAAAATTTGTTTTGTTTTCCCTTCCTTTTCTTTTTTTTTTTTTTGAGATTGAAGTACAGAAGTGCAGTGGCAAGATCGTAGCTCACTGTAGCCTCAAACTCCTGACCTCAAGCAATCTTCCTGCCTAGGTCTCCCACAGTACTAGGATTACAATCCTGAGCCATTGAGTTCAGCCTGGAAAACATTTTTTTTAAAAAATAGGATTTGGTTTGGCACAGGATTCAAGATATTCCAAGAATGGTTTGTGTTTCTCATACTTCTGTTGACTGTTTAATGGTAGATAGCTGATTATGCAGAACATCTCAGACATTATTAGATGTTATTAGGGCAAAAGAGCATTAGGCCCCTTTTGAGAAATCAAAATCTGTGATTTTCATACAGCATACAAAAGAACTTCCTCATATAACATATCAGAGTAAAGAGTGAAATATATAGGTATATGTGTAGGGTATGTATATGCTACTATAATAAAATTTTAAGTAAATATAAAATATAAAATATATAAAAATATAAAAATATAAGTAAATATAAAAAACTGTATTTTATTTTTTGTAAAGATGGGGGTCTCACTATGTTGGCCAAGCTGGTCTGGAACTCCTGGCCTCAAGCGATCCTCCTGCTTTGACCTCCCAAAATGCTGGGATTTTAGCCATGGTGCCAGCCATGTGTCAGATATGTATATGTTCATATGATAACATAATAAAATTGTAATTACATATGTAAGATATGTAATTATATATATTTCTGTATGTGTACATATAAATATGCAAATATGAGAAAATATTGAATCATAAATATGTATAATTTTAGATGTATATTAAAATATCTAAAAAACAAAACTGATGCTTAAAAAGTAAAATACATGAGCTTCCCAAGGTTCTTTCCAATGTGGTTATTTTCCCCAGATTAGGTCCAGCCAAAGGCTGCAGGACCTTTACTGAGTGTAGCTCACCTGAGCCTCCTGGTGCAATCCTCACTCAGATATTCTGCTCCCAGTAGAGACTTGGTGTGGGGCAAGGAGCTGCCCTGTATTCACCTGTCAGATGTTCACTGGGGATTGTCAGCTTTTTCCGTCCTTGTAGAGCTGATGTGTCTTCCTCAATCCAGGTCAAAAGACACAACATAGTCCCCACTTCTTGTTCACCAGTATGGTGACCTCAGGACCAATTTAGTCTTATAACCCTGCAGGGAGTTTTCTTTCCTTTATGCAGTCAGCATAGGGAAAGTGAAAGGTAATTCTATCTTGTTCTCTGATTGCATCTTCTGAACTGCGGTCTGAAAGATTTGACTCATTTTCCTTCATTTCCACCTCCTATCACTGCACTGAAAAGATCTCTCAAATTTAATCAAGGATCTGCTTTCTGGTTTGATTGAATATTTTGAAAAGCCTTCATTTTTTTCAACTGCAGCTTTGCTAAAGCAATGGTCCCCCCAACCTTTTTGGCATCAGGAACTGGTTTCATGGAAGATAATTTTTCCACAGACATGCAGTGGGTGGAATGGTTTTGAGATGAAACTCTTCCAGCTCATATCAGGCATTAGATTCTCACAAAAAGCACACAACCTAGATCCTTCATATGTGCAGTTCAAAATAGGGTTGGGGAGGCCGGGCGTGGTGGCTCATGCCTGTAATCCCAGCACTTTGGGAGGCCGAGGTGGGCAGAGCACTTGAGGTCAGGGGTTCAAGACCAGCCTGGACAACATGGTGAAACCCCGCCTCTACTAAAAATAAAAAATAAGCTGGACATGGAAGTGCATTCCTGTACTCCCAGCTATTCGGGAGTCGAGGCAGGAGAATCGCTTGAACCCGGGAGGCAGAGGTTGCAATGAGCTAAGATTGTGCCACTGCACTCCAGTCTGGGCAAAACAACAACAAAAATAAAATAAAATAAACAAAAAAAAAAAAAAAAAGAAGCAAAGAAGAGATCAATCAAGTGAAGATAAAGAACAAAATAAACAACTAAAAGAAAACCAAAAAAACAAAATAGGGTTGGAGCTCCTGTGAGAATCTAATACCATTGCTGATCTTCCAGGAGGTGGAGCTCAGGTAGTAAAGCTCACTCTCCAGGCTCACCTCCTGCTGGGTAGCCCAGTTCTTAACAGGCCACCATCAGGTCCCAGTCTGCGGCCAGGGATTGGGGCCCCTGTACTAAGAAATCTTGTCAGGCTCTTTCTGCAGTTGTTGTAATACTGTTTGCCCCCTAAGAAGCTTATTTCCAGAGTTGTCCTCGACTGTGTTTTCTGGATTCTCACACTCTCAGGCAGCTCTCCAACTGGGCAGTCTCATGCAGCAGCCAGCCTCCCAGGAGAAAACCCACTGGCTCCTCCCTGCTCTTCTGGAGGTGGTAGCTCTGTAGTTGTGGTAGAGGGAATGGGGCTATGAGCAGTGTCAAAGCTCCTATTGTAGCCAGTTCACCCGGGAACATGTAGTTTAAATTAAAGTCCGTGTGGTGAATCTGGTATGTTGTCAGTCTCTGTGTGGGATATAAGAAACACATTTGGTCTTTGTTCCTTTTCCTTTTGTGGAGCCCCTGAAGTCCCTTGAAATGTCCCCAGTTGTATGTTTTGGTTTATTTTATTTTACTTTTTAATTTTTGGACAGTATTTCAAGTTTCTCTGTATTCACGAAACATACCAGGTGATCTTGACAGCCGCCAGGTGACAGCCCTCCAACCCCTAACCCTGCAGCTGCCCACTAAGGGCAAATTCCAGAAGATCCAGAAGATGTTTCCTGAGGTCCGCAGATGCCTCACACAGTGGACAGAGTGGAGATCCTGGAGGACGGAGTGTCATTCCTAAACCTTCAACCCACTGTTAACGGTGGAGAGTGTTCAGGTTCTTGGCGTGTTGAACGAAGAATTGGACAAAACGCACAAAGCAAGGAAAGAATGAAGGGCTTTCTTGAAAATGAAAGCACCCTTTGCAGTGTGGGAGCAGGTCTGAACATAGGGGCTCAAAGGCCCTGTTAACAGAATTTTCGGGAGTTTAAATAGCCCCTAGAGGATTCCATTGGTTACTTGGGGTACATCCTATGTAAATGGAGGGAATGAAGTAAAATTACAAAGTCATTTACAGTCTACGCCTTATGGAGAGGATATTTCCTGTTATAGCTGAAGTGTGAATTGGCCTTATGTTCCCTGCCTCCAGACTCTATTTTCCTGCCTCACCACCACTAGACTTGATTCCAGCCAGGAAGGCCTCCTTAACTGGAGTCCTCCACTTTTCTTCTCCTACTCTGCTGTAGTCCCAAGTGTCCCCCTTCCACCAGTCCCACAAAGCTCAAATACTGAGAGGTCTCCATTTACAGCAGGGGCGACATCTCACACCCTTGCATAAGTTAAAACAAATATTACACACACTCCTCCATCACCTAGGCAGACATATGGGAATACAAGTAAATATTAACTAGGAGCAATGAGAAATAAATTAACTACTTTCTCTGGGTTTTTCCCACCCGGCGTAGCCCTGTAGCGTCTGTGCCTCAGTCTTCTGTTACTTGGTCTCCCCACAAGCAGCAGCTGGCCTCTCTGCTCTAATGTTGAGTCTGAGTTCCCTGGGCAGTCCCAGATTGAAATACGCTCTCCAGCACCAGATACGCCTGGTGTTTTCTTTGTTTTTTCTGATTCTTTTTGGGGGATTGCGGGGAGTCAGGGTTAGAAGTCGGCCCGGTGGTGCTGGAGAAAAGTGCTGAGGTCCAGCGCGGAGTGCCAGGGCTCCCAAGTCAGATTAAAGACTTGAGGACGGGCGCGAAGGGGTGGGGGCGTCCTCCAGAAGCAGGGGCGCCGGCACACTCCAGCTATGGGATCGGGCAGAAGATGAAGTGAGCAGGAGAAAGAGAAGCCTCTTTAGCGGGGTTCAGTTCCTTTACTGGCAGCTGGCACCCGACCCCTGGAGGGTAGAGGACTCTGCAGCTCCCCATTCGGTGCCCTTGAGAGGCGCTGGGGTGAGGCTGGGGCCTCTGCGGGCTCTGGGAGAGGTCGAAAGTGAAGATCTTAGAACCTGAGCTCTGCCAGGTCATCGGGTTCGTGCATGATGGTCATGATGGGGTGGGAACTGCGGGAGCGACACATGATGCGCTGGGTGGAACACAAGGGCAAGGGCTGGGTTGTGTTTGTTTGTTTGAGATGGAGTTTCGCTCTTGTCCCCCAGGCTGGAGTGCAATGGCAGGATCTTCGCTCGCTGTCACCTCCGCCTCCCGGGTTCAAGCGATTCTCCTGCCTCGGCCTCCTGAGTAGCTGGGATTACAGGAGCCCGCCACCACGCCCAGCTAATTTTTGTATTTTTAGTAGAGACGCAGTTTCACCATGTTGGCCAGGCTGATCTCGAACTCCTGACCTCAGGTGATCTGCCCACCTCGACCTCCCAAAGTGCTGGGATTACAGGCATGAGCTACTGAGCCCAGTGGGATGGATTTTTTAATTTCATATATTTTTTTGGACTCAGGATGTTGCTCTGTCACCTTGTAGTGCAGTGGGCAGTCATGGTTCACTGTAACCTGGAACTCCTGAGCTCAAGGGATCCTCCAGCCTCAACCTTCCAAATAGCCAGGACTGCAGGCACACGTCACCATACCCAGCTAGTTTTTTCAAATTACCATGATTGGTGGGTAGAGATGCATAATATTCCTTTGAGGCAAAGGGAAAGCATGGCCAGGAAGTTGTCGAAATAAGCCTTAATAAACCTGGCCAAATCTGTAGTAGCCAGATATTTACCATTTGCTGATTGGATAGAGTAAGTCATGTCAATAACATTGGGAGAGATCACCCCATTAAAGCTGTCATCAATTCACTCTGAGATGTCATATTTCTTTCAAAGCATAAGAACACACAAAATTGGGGTTGAACCCAGAAATAGTGAGATAATCACTCCTAGGTCTTGCATCATGGGTTTCAAATCTTGAGTATCTATTTTAACT